TATTGTTTATAAACAATTGTTATTTAAAATTATTAGTGATTAATGAGCAATAATTATTGTATTTTATGTAATTTTATATTTTTGGGTCGATAATAAATCATAATTTTTGTACTTTTGGTTTTATTTTTTAAATATTTCCAAAGTAGATTTGTGTCAGATCAAATTGAAATCTATTCACAAGAATTCATTCATATTATTTGCGTGATTTAGGTTTCATCACAAAAAGGAAATGCAAAGAAAAACTTTGTTTTATAACATGTAAAGATGTTTGAATGCATATTTACATAAACAGATATGATTGAGAATGTGCAACCTCTGACTCGGCAAATAGACATGTGCAGATTGCGCGGGGCCAATGAACGATTATCACATATCCATGAAGGTCGTCACATAACCATACTAGAAAATTATGAAATTATCGGTTATCGCCAACAGATTAATTATTCTATATTTCTACTTCGACTAGATTTTTTGATCAAATTTAATTAATCTAGTTCTTAAGAATCATTCTCATTAAAAAATAAATTACTATGCTTTGTCCGTGACTCCGTCCAGGTGGAAGTAAAAAAATAATAAAAGCAAGCAGCCTATGTGTTCTTCCACACTACCCTCTACACTACATCTGTATCAATTTTCATCGAGATTCGTTCAGCCTTTTAGGCTACAGACGTACAGACTCTAACAAACATCCATCCATCTATACTTTCGCATTCATAATATTAGGAAGATGGTATGGTATGGTAATACGAACAAGCGGCCCCCTAAATCCGCCAAACTGACAAAGCGACCGTTGCCATCGACATCGCAATAGCGGATTCGTTGCCCTTTAATCAACGGAGGAGGAGATGCACATAAAGAGGATATTACCCCTTCCTATGCGTCTCCTGCACCGTCAAATCTACGTTCCCTTTCCATCCTTTTTTTATAAAAAAGGATGGGAAGGAAAAGGGACTAAAGTTGGGCCTCCGGCACCACACTCATCAGATGAAACGCGGAATTGCTTCCACTTCACGTCTGTCTTCTGTGTGGTCGTGGTATTACATCGGGCGAGCCGACCCATTCGTGCGAAGATGTTAAAGCGGGCTCTACTACTGTTAAATTAATACGTTACAATCAGGTAAAAATATCTGAAAGTGTGAATAAATAAAAAGTTTATAACAATAGACAATACTTTTTACTTTCATAAAGTAGCGACAAGGTTGAAGTATCGACTCCCAGGCATAAAGCAGGAATGGAAAGTGGAATCGTACCGAATCGATTGATGAAGAGAGTTTGATAACGAGGCGTACGTGTCCGCCCCTGGGATCTGCCTCTGCGCCGGAAGTTCTTTCCTATTGTTCATTGAGCAACCGCATTATAATATTTGAGAATAGTCAAGTACTTAAAATTGATGTAAAGTTGTTAACAATGAGACATTTTCTCTGTTTAGATAACTAGCTGTTCCCGTGCGGCTTCATCCGCTTTATATTATAAAAACTGTAACGTTTGCATTCCATAAAACTTTCATTTGCAAATGTCAATATTCAAATTCAAAAATAACAAACTTGCCATTGGCTAACAATTACCGTTACCATAGCATTCTTGCTTTTTTACTGCTATTGGTCTGTAGTTTGTGTTCTTTTCCCGCCTGACTTTTTTTCCTATTTATTCACCCCTAAATTAAATAGCGTGAAAATATTTAGTCTTACGTAAGTGTAAGTCTTTTTATAGATAGATTATTAACACTATTTATAGAGATGAATACGTTGTTTTTACCACATTTTCTTGAAAAACCATTTCATGTCATGAAAGGAAAATGAAAATCTCAATTAGATAATTAGTAAGGATAAAATTATGAAATGAATAATGAAACATAACTTTTACAGCTTACAGTAATCATTTCATTTTAAAATATTCAAAATAATGATGATTAATACAGAAATATTGTGCAATTAACGGAAAGCAAATAGAAGAGAACCGAACAGATAGGTAAGTGTTGTCGGTGAGTTAATCACGTAATAACGTTTGCGGCGCGAGCGGCTTGCTAACAATGTTGACCGTGGTGAGCAAACAGCGGCGGCGGAGTCAGCACGTGCCCGCACCCGTACCGTACCCGTGCCGCATCGCGCCGCATATCGTGATAAATTGGTAGAGATTTTGCTATCAAGTTATGAAATCATAGTTTTTTGATAATTTTTTTTTGTCAGACATAGTCTTACGGACAAATTCAATGCAGTATCCATCAGTAAACAGTTCCTCAGCAATAGCTATGTCATAAGAAATCTGCACAAAAAATCTATAGTAACGTTTATAAGTGGTAAACGTCTTTGAGCGAGGTGGTTTTTGTGTAATTGTTTTAAACATTGCTCTTCAGTCACTAGGGATGTACGAAGTACTAAATGTACAAACGAAACTACGATAAACATTTTTAGCTTGGTCGATAGTCTGAATGTAAGTCATAAACCTCTAAGTAGTTACAGATCTTAACTTATGTTTATTAAGTTGAAATGTTAGCTCACGCATATCTCCAATTATTGCTCATTATTTTAACGATAACAAGCGCATCATTTCAATTATGAGGGTTAATAAGAAAGGGTTAAATGTTTAGAGTTGGGCGCAGGTCGGAGATTAAATGTATAGCACGGGCATGGGCTGTGCTCGGGGCTCGGGATAACGCTGACGTGTCGAACCCTCCGCGCGCTGTGACGCGTGAAATCACTTTGTTCAACAGTTAGTCATGTAGCCGCCGTTTGGATATTCAATGTAACTGAAATTATGATTGTAAATTTTATTACAAGCATAACTATTTTAACATTATCTTACTTATATTATAAATGCGAAAGTTTAGATGGATGTATGTGTGTTAGAGTTTGTAACCTAAACTGCTAAACAGATCTCGACGAAATTTTGCACAGATGCAGAGTATAGTCTGAAAGAACACATAGGCTATTCACTTTTGTTTTTAAATTCCACGCGGATGGAGTTGCGAGCGAAAGCTAGTCATGAAATAAAGAAGCTTTTATACCTTAAACAACATTGGAAATGGCAAACAAAACATTGTGTTTGTGGACATTATTTTATTTGCAAGAAAACAAATACTGTAATACTTATTTAATCACATTTTCATTATGTAATATTATGTTAAAACTTTACAAATACATATAGCGTAGACTATCAGTTACAATTTTATTGAGCAAACTTGGAAACAAAACAAAACAAAACAAAAAGCAAGCAAGCAAACAATTATCTTCTTAATAATAGACACTAAATATGGACACCTTCAATCAGAGTTGTGTATTACCGATTGTAATGAAGGCCAAGTGATTGTGTGGTC